TTCTCAAAGATAGTGCTTGGTCACCTTCTGCAACCACCAACTTTTGATGGATATCAGCAGCAGTGCTGCCATTTTTCCATTCAACAAAGATATAGTAACGTTGGTTTTCACAAGTAGAATCATTAAGATATATGTAAATTGTCATTACTTTTCAAGCATACCACGTACTAATACCGTTCTCTAGGAAATGCTCAATGCGCATACAAAGTCAAGCCTAATTCCCTTCCCTGAAGAAAGAGATGTACGTAAATTTGCATCTAAACAAGTATTAATGCCGACTAGTAAATATAGAGGGCCAATTGTTTGCTGTTGATCTTGACCACGAGCACACCGATAAGAAATCCCTGTTAACGCATCACCAGTTTAATATTGCTTTTCTTTCATAAAACAAAATGATTTCGCGAAACAAAAACGAACTAGTGCTGGCTCCAACCCTTGTGCATCTTACAAGTATTGTCCAGATTTACAAAATTTATTTGTGACTACAGAGTTATTCGTAAATTAAATCTCGAAAAAAATCACTTTCGGTCTTTTTGTTTATTATAAAATATAATCTATAGTTTCATAGGCTGCTAAATGGAACTGTTGTTGGAACAACGACCGTTAATAATTCTTAATCAAGCATGTATACGACGCGTTTTCCTCGTAAATTCAAATGTCTCAGACAATAGATTAACTTGATTGACTACAGCTAGTATGATATAAATGTAATAGAATTAACGCCGTACATTACGACACTCCCTTTACGATGGAATTTTGCCAGTTTATTTATTTACACTGCCGAGATGCGCTAAAGGTAGTTTTAACGTATCACAGGATAAATCAAAAGTGTTAAAGTTCACCAACATAATAGAAGAGAGCTGTTCCATTTAGGCCACACTTGTAGGACAAATAGCTGTATCGCTATTACGCTTGACATCGCCAACGCTACGAAACTCACCTTACTGTAAATGCCAAAGAATTTAGACTGTTCAACGAGCGTTAAATTCAGAGGGCTATTACGGAAGGATTGCAAAGAAGCTCTTGGTTAGCTTGGCATCGAGAGTTACTCGAGCAATATCTTTGCCGTTTTATGAACACTCAGCCTGGGTATATATTTCCAAGGTGATAATGCGCCAACCCAAAAGAGTAGTTAGAGTAGAAGGAGGATCATTCAAACGAAACACTTCTGATTGAGATTTGTGGGACGAATTAGATAGAAGGTTAGTTACAAAATTTAGTCCAATGGACGATCGGCAAAAATCAGAATGTTTCTGATTTCGGTTACACTATTTAATTAGCCTTTCACAAAGTAGGCGTGACCAATGACAATTGATGCACAGATAAACAGACCATTTACTTAAAATGTTGCGCTACGCGCAATAAATGCTTACTTTTCCGAACGATTCAATTTTGACTTTTTCAAGTGCTGTTAAATGACATAATCTGAAAGAGTGAGTTTTAAATTTGCGCCAGATTGGCCAAAGAATCAGCATTAATGGCGTTGGATCCTTCTAATGCAAACACTTTATTGATCATTTCCATGCTTACAAAGAGAATTGGGATATCTGATTTAATGCTATCTCCATAGTATTGTGTGTTGAACTACAAGATCAAAGACTTATGGTTATGTTAGAACGTAGCATCAATCCAATCATGACAGCCGTTCTGAAACTTGATTTGCTCTTGGATAAATAATATTATTAGATTATGTGTATTTTCTTTAGCCAACTTGACCTTTGAATGTCAGTCATTAATAAGCATGATGAAACAGGATAGAATGAGTCTCGACCCCCTCGAAATACACTGTGGTGCTATGTTCACTTTGACGCAGTATGGCCAACATTATAATAGCAATGGTAATGCTGATAAGCAAGAAATCAAATTAATGGGTAGAATCTCACGGTCGATGATTACTTTACTTTGTATAATAGAACAACCGACATATTCACAAGGTTTTGGCAATTTGATTGTCGAGCATTGATTTGTTCTATATTACAAATCATTTTGTAACACTAGTGTATGAGTTATTGCTCTTAGCGTTAGGCAACACAAATAAATTTAATTGTTACCGGGTCCCAAAAATCTACCAAATCAGTAATCAAATGTTTCAAACTCAGATCGAACAATCCATTTTGGAAATTGCAACAACGTATTGTTCTAGAAGTTCAACAGGTTTCTCGCATAAAATGCTTCGTCTCAGCCAAACAAACACTCGATGAAGAATTAGTTGCTCGCCCTAACGATATGATCTGGCCTTTTCGCTTTGATAAATCACATTATCACTATTTGCGTTGATATAATGAACTAGTTAGTGCTAGTATTGGACAGTTATGGTTACTGATCGAGACAACGGGTTAGTTTGTTATACAACGTTCTAAATAGAACGTCAGAATTAGGTAAAGACCTTAGTATTAGTATAGTTTGGTCCATATACATGAGGGGTGTCTTTATTATTATTGCCTCCCAGCATTATTTAGTTGTTATGCAGGATTTATTAATACCCGATCTGCTCCAAGTTTTTGTGTTCCAAAATGATTTTTGTATAACAGAGCTTGGGTTTCTACTGAAACAAGTAACGTTTGCTCTTCTTCTGTCGGTTCCTATTGTTGAAGACCTGAAGATAACAGTATAACCGATAATTATTAGATAGCTTAATGAATTCACACGTTGTCAAGAAGGGCTGTCTCTCTGTCAAGGAAGATGGGTTAAAGTCTTGGATGTGGTCAAAGAGATGGTTACTTCTTAGAGAACAAACGTTGACTTTCCATCGTAATGAGGTACTGTAGACAGCTCACATCTCCGTTCGCTTTGTCTGGTCTTCTTACCCGTTCCAAGGGCTGCTGGATTTTCTTAAATCCACTCACCCCATATAGTGTGTCATCAGGCAAGAATACGATATATTAATCTTCATTCATATTCTAACCCACATTACCTCAACAGAATACATATAACGCAGTCGCTCTTATTTTTCTAAAAGAAATTACGAGCGTCCAACGTATTGAGCTAAAGCCTTATTGTCTTGAGATCTGCACAAAAGATAAAACTTATTACTTATCATGCAAGAATGACGAAGAACTATACTCATGGTTAGATGAAATATACCAGGTAACTTGATGCATTGTATAACTACTGCTTATTCAAAGATATAGTATTCATGTACTTGAATCTGATAAAAGTGAAGCTTCTTTAATAATCGTATATTCACGTACGCTCATGTGCGCTGAAGAATAGATATACTAACTGCAAAGAATCCTATTTTCCCCTAGCGATCACCTTTAAGTGGTGTCTCGAATCCAACCAATTTCGTACATAAAGTTCATGTCGGTTTTGATCCTGTCAGCGGCATGTTCACCGTAAGTCAATTAATTATCAACACTTTGCTACTATGAAATCCTCAGAAAAGAAATGAAAGGTGACAACGTCCACCATTCACACAAAATTGATGTGTATAGGGTCTCCCTGAACAATGGACTAAACTACTAACTGCCTCGGCAATTACGAAAGAAGATTATGCAAAGAATCCACAGGCAGTGTTAGATGTTTTGGAGTTCTACACTGAAAATCAAAAGCGCGAACGCGAAGAATATAATGAACATGGCATATTAGGACCAATTCCTGGTATAAACAATAATCAGGATGATAAATGGGCGGATTTGGTACCAAAGAACACTGGACAACCTTATTATGGAGGACCCAACAATGGCTACGAGCAACAGATGGGTTATTCTGGAAACGGAATGCCAATGGATCCAAGATCTTACAATAAAATGAATGCACCACCAAATCGAATGGATGCTGTAGATCCTCGAAGATATTACGATGGCGGGGTGAGTGTCTTACACTTCATAGGGAACCAACTGGCTTTGCAAAAATTAATGAATACCTCTTGATGCGCTTTGATGCAGGCTTCTGGTATACCGCCAAAGGGCTATCCTCCCAATGAACGACCACAAAACATACCTTCCTCGAACTCCCAAACAGGAATGCCTGCAGCCCAACCCATGCGCAAACCAAGTGTAGGTTTTGATTAACAACGACTTGCATAATGTTATTCATTTACTTACGTCATCGTGGTCTAACTTTAACGCATGTATTTTCAGTACAATACACCCGGTCAAACAAACCTATCACCTGTACCTCAACGTTATCCTGATCAATACGGAGGACCTAATAATAACCAGGAAGTTCCTAGTCGTCCAGCAACCAAACCCTATAGCCAACAACAGCGAGCCCCGAGTCCCAACCCGAGACCACAGCAAACACAGCATACGCAACAACAACCTCATACGCAACATGCACAACATGCACCGCATTCGCCACATCCACAACGTACGCAACCTAACAATAATGTGTCAAAACCACAAGCGCCCAAACCACAAGCTCCCAAACCACAAGCTCCTGCACCGGCACCGAAAAAATCGACAGAGAGAAGAATCAGCACGATGACGGAAGTGCAGATTATGGAGAAGTTACGATCCGTCGTCTCACAGGGTGATCCAACCACTCTTTATAGTAAGATTAAGAAAGTTGGCCAAGGGTAAATATTCGGTTGAATAGACATATTTTAGTGGATTTTACATGTATTAAGAGAGATCCTATTTCTTGCAGTGCCTCCGGCTCCGTATATGTGGCAAAGTCGCTGGTTACGAACGCCAAGGTCGCGATTAAGCAAATGGACTTATCTCACCAACCTCGAAAGGAACTTATTGTCAACGAAATTCTTGTAATGAAGGAATCGCAACATCCGAATATTGTCAACTACCTTGATTCGTTTTTGGTGAAGGGCAATGAATTATGGGTGGTAATGGAATATATGGAAGGTGGCGCATTGACGGATGTGATCGATAATAACAGTTTAGAAGAAGACCAGATAGCGGCCATTTGCCATGAGGTAACCTTTAAATCTTTGTGCATAGGCTTTACTTTTGGCGGATATTTACAAATACTTTTATTTCCAATTTAGACTTGTAACGGTCTCCAACACCTTCACAGTCAAAATATCATTCATCGTGACATTAAGAGTGACAATGTTCTTTTGGATGCCTATGGACATGTTAAAATAAGTGTGTACTAAGCATTATGAGTATATTCGTTTGTTTATTATCAGTTAACATATACCAAACTTTTCTTTTTTGACAGCTGACTTTGGTTTTTGTGCCAAGCTTACGGACCAGAAAAACAAGCGCGCAACAATGGTCGGAACACCGTATTGGATGGCTCCCGAAGTTGTTAAGCAGAAAGAATATGGTGCTAAAGTAGATATTTGGTCATTGGGCATTATGGCGATCGAAATGATAGAAAATGAACCGCCTTATCTCGACGAAGAACCACTGAAAGCACTATACCTTATTGCTACAAATGGTACTCCTACATTAAAGAAACCAGAGAAGTTGTCAAAAGAACTTAAAGGCTTCCTTGCAGTTTGCTTATGCGTGGATGTAAAGAGTAGAGCAACTGCTGGCGAGCTTTTGAACGTACGTATATTTTATGTCGCATTGTCGGATATTGTAACAAGCCTCTTGACTGATTGCATTCAACTGTAATTATAGCACGACTTTTTGAGAAAAGCCTGTCCACTTTCCGATCTTGCTCCCCTGCTCAAGTTTAAAACCGCAAAAGACGGGAGAACATAAACATGTCAACACGGTACCATTCATAGGCTGAATATAACGATATAGCATCTGACATGCATTTCTATGACTGACTGGATTGTTAAGTTAATTATTATTGTACTAACCTTTGGTTATCCTATAAAATGGTGTTTGTTTGTAATACTATTAACTAGTCAGATGAAAGAGCATTATATAGAAAATACTAATAGTAGTAAGTGATGTAATGGACAAAAAAAAATTGAGCGGTTATCAGCTTTTGGCAAAATGCGTTTCCATGTTGTGTATATATATAACCTTGAATTTCTATATATACTGTACTATCTTTCCTTCACTTCAGATTTTAAAAGTTCCTTATTTATTTTTTCATACTACATATATATTTTCGTAGGATATCACTGTTCCAACAGCTGTCTAAAATCTATGATGAAAAGGAGTTATCGATCAATTAATCTAATAGAATATACAAATCATTTATATTCATAACTGACCATTGAATTGGAAACAGTTGACAAATCAATTGAATAATAGGTGTATTAGAACAATAATTAAACACCACTTTCTGTTTGAGCTCCATGTGAACTAAAATGGCTGAAAATCAACTAATTTAGCTTTTGTACAAATCTAGGCTATTTTTAGTGACATTTTAGACCAATTGCTATGTTATAAGAAACATCCGTGTATAACACACAGTGAAACTCGGTATAGCGGAGGCTACAGTTCCGGCCCTTTTCTCCGTTAATATTAGGTTGTAAAAATCGCGTTGAAACGAGAATGAGAAACGAAAAATCGCGTGTAATGATTGATATGTTAAAATAGGGGGTATTGTGGCGAATGGGCAGATATTTTAAATGAATCATAATTCAGACTCCCCGCTCCAAAAAATAAACAGCTGAATTGTTACATGTGTGATTTTAAGCAACAAACATTAGTAAGTGAAAAACTTTGACAATAATTCGGTGCATTGATGAAAAGCTTGGAAAAGCAGTTGTCATAACCCAGTCTAATACACTGATAAATATTGTTGCGATGACGATTTTGCATTGGTATTTGTTATTGGGTAAATGAAATTTCTTATCGGCCTTGAAAACAAGATTACATTATTGTTACAATGGCTAAAAGACTTTGAGACTACATTCAATAAGATGTACCATCTTAATATTTCGCATTTACGTGGAGTACACACCCTACGATAAATTACCGAATTTCACTAGTAAAACATACGAAAAGTCTTTTTTTTTTTCAAAAATCTCTCCTGCCCGTGTATGCTAATGCAAATGGCGATAGTTCTTGTATGATTTTGAAGCTAATTGATGTGCTTTTTGAAAAAAATAGTAATCCATTTGTTATGTCTTCTTGTTGTATAGCGAAATTGTGTATACGTGCTTTACACATATAATTATATATTTTTATATCATAATTCAAAGACAACCACTGCAGCATGCTACGGCTTTATAGCGGTAAACCTATAAAATCGTATTGTTATTTTTTCGAAAAGTGCAAGAAATTAACTTCAAAATCTGTTGTCATTTGCATAGCATCGCAGGAGAGATTTTTGAAAGAAAGACTTTTCATATGTTTTACTAGTAAAATTCGGTAATTTATTGTAGGGGCTATGTAGATAAGTAGAATAATCAATGAAACAGAATGGACAGATGAAATGGTATGAGAATTTAAAAAGTTACAAGCTGGAACAATAAAGTTTAATCATTAAAGTACAGTAACCATGATAGATTAACATGCGCTTACCCAACTGCAACTAACTTATATAAACGTGTATAAAGTGAACCTTTTCTAAATACAATGCATTGGGGTTTTGCATTTATAATTAATGGTCTTATAAGTTCGGGACCAAACCAGAATTTGCAGTGCTTGCGCTAGACAGTGATGTTGTTATCACAATGAATTTGAAAATCAGTGTCGCCGTTTATTTTAAAATTGACTTTCGTAAAGGGAATCAAAAAATCGACAAGCGTTGTCTTACAAAAAGTATATACAGTCGCTAAATAGCATTAAATCAGACTTCATCGCGCTCAATTTTTACAAGTAAGCTCGGATGGATTGTAACATTACAGTTCCACAATTTTGGCACCTGTACATCTCGGACCCTCCTACCATGAGTTTTGTAGTATGGGGGGTGTGGATGAGGTTGCGGCAGAGTCGGTCACAATGGGTAACCACAATTTCTGAGACCATGCCGCGACTTTTCCGTTCCAATAAGGTCTTGAGTTTGTAGGTTGGGGAGCTGAGAACCTCCTTTTTGCTTGAACCCTTTTTTGGTGGTGGTTTTCGGCGGCGGCGATGTTAGCATTGAGGAGAGAGTTTATGTGTTTACGATTTTGATTTTCAAATAAGCAAAATATTGCAATATTGCAATGGTTAAAGATAATGTCTTTAGATATGTTTATGGTTGTCAGTATTTGAATGGCGGAACCGAAAACGCGCATAAAACATGCAATCTCATATGGAGCCTGTTCTTGCATTGAATGAAGCTTTGATTACGAGCATACAACTCTCGGCAAACCCAGATACAGTGCGCGAAAAAGTTTTTGGAATAAAATGCATAAATTTAAAACTTTATTTCCTTCCAAAATACGCGACTAATCAAAACAGTCAGCTAATACAAGAAAACTCAGTCACATAGCTTTGTTACTTGTGTAATTTTTTTTGTTATTAAAAATACAACGACAGGGGTTTGATTGACCGATGTCGCAAGATCATAACCACTCTATATCTATGAGCAGGGCAAAATGGTGCTCAAGGTGCCTACACTTTACATAAATTAACTATTATTTTGCCATAATATTAAGAAGCTTAAAATAAAAGTCTTTGGGAAGAGATTGGAAAAAGCACTTTTGTTAATTTGATTCAAAGTATGCCGTCAAGGTTGAATAAAATAATGCTATTGAGCAGCATATCTGTAAATTCTCATCATTTCTCGCTGCACAATTAATAAAAATGTTATTCCAAAAACTTTTTCGTGCATTGTAGAATATACTGTACTCCAATAATGTCAATAACAAAGGCCGATGTCCAGAATAAGGGTAATGGTCATCATTGAATGATACAGTCAACTGCCGTTAATTCGACTCCCGATAATTCGACTTTCCAGTATTCGACCGCCTGGAGCAATTACCCGAT